TAAACTTGGCCCCAAAATGGGAAAGAAAGGAGCGCCCCTCGACGAGCAGGGGAAAATAAAGAGCTGCAGGCGGGTGGAAGACTAGATGGAGAACTCAACAGCCAGGCACTTGAAAAAGTTGAACTCATCCCCCTGCCGCGTTCGCCTTCTAGCTCGCTTCCATCTTCGGGGCGCCACAGGTAGAGGAGAGCAGCATTCACATAGATACACAGATACAAATGTGCATGCGAATATATAGTATAAAAAACGGAACTATATAGAGCTGCCGCTGTGCGCTGTGCGCTGTTTGCTGAACTCAACTTGCAACTTTGTTGCCCTGGCATTTCGTGCTTTTGCTATTTTTATAACGAAGAGATCAAGGGTGTGTTGGGTGCACAAATGAAATATTTGTCGTGCAAGTTTTAGCAATTGCATTTAAAAGCTGAAGAAAGATAAAGCCCTTTTTAAAACTTATATTTGATCTCTAGTCTTTAATCTATTCCCTAGTTATTCCAAAATTCCCAAGTAAAATATTTGTTTATAAAAGCATAAACAGAAAATTAGCAGGTATGTTGCAGTCGGGTTCCGAATTATTTTGCCATTGTCCGCATTTTTTATGTATCTTTTCCTTTCGCGCAGTTCTCTGTCGAATTTGTTGCTGCTGCCTCTGTTGCAGTTGGATATTTCAGTATTTTGGCGTAGTTGCTTCATGGCCCGATGCATTCGAACACTTGCGATGTCGCATGGCCTGCATCTGGTTCCAAAAATAAAATGAAAAAACTGCCATCCAACATGTCCGGAAATTCAGGGGGCTGCATCTGCTTTATTTCTTTGAATACTCGTAGAAAGTTTCAAACACTTTCGTTGGTTAATTTTTTCCATAGGCTATCCGTGCCCAGGGGTTTTTGCTTGCTCCCTGCGCACTTTCTAATTTTTAGGTTTTATTAGCAAGATTATTTAGCAAGAGGTATTCCTCAAACGAAACTTTCAAAGAAATCCAGACACTGCACTTCCCGAAATGCCATAGAAGCGTTTAATGTAGCGAACAAATTACTAAATGCAATCGTGCCAAGCCAAAGAAAAAATGAGATACTAAAAGGAGATACGGGGAAAGTCTAAGACAAAGGACCACACATGTGTATGACAATAATGTTGACGACATTTTCTGCTGTGGCACCCAACAATGGAGCTGCGGCCAACAAACTGGAACGACAGTCGCCAACGGGCCAGTACACAAGCACATGGATGCATTCCTCCGCCCTCAGCGTTTTGCAACCAGTTTGATGGAGCAACACCTACCACAAAAAAGACGGCCTCAGCAAAAATGATTATAAAGCAAATGTTGGGAGAGCCAAGACAAAAACAAAGAGGAATACAAGAACCGGACGTGCCACGGTCACCATTTGTTGCCGCATTTTGACAATTTTGCCATTTAATGTGGCGCAAGCAGTGCTCGTGGAGATGTGGATGCGGAGGGCAGGAAAATATTTGCACCAGGATGCGCGTGTTGTGATGGGAGCATGACAGACGTGGCGTATATTAGACGCTCAACGCAAAGACACAATGAGAAATCATGTGTTTGTAAGGCGGATCGCAAAGATAATAGAAATAGAATTTTATTAATATTTATTTCCCTTTATTCTTTATATTTTACTTTAAATGTCTTAAGAGAGCGCTCGTCATTTAATAATGTCTTTTGTGCTTTTGTAGCTTAGGACGCAGAATATCCGATAGTCTTGACAAATTTTCGACTCAGTACTTAGAACTGATTTTCACTTGGCTCGATTCCCTTTTTGCATTTTCTATTACCTCGACTCACTCGACTTAAGTGCATAGTGTGTTGTACTGTGCACTAAGTCCCTAGTAAGAAAACAAATTGTGTTTTCCCAGTTGTTTGCAGTCTCCCCCTTCATACCCAAAAATGGCCCACATTGCGTATACGCAACGTTGCACATTTCAGTGAGGAGTCTAGACCGAATGGAAGGATGCCTTACAATGCACTCGTTCTGACAAATAACCAAACTGTATTGATTTGTCGCTAATAGTGGATCCTGCTTCCCATTCCTATTTTATTTCATTTATTCGATTCTTTCTGCGGATGGGTTTTGATTTGATTTTTCAAGTACACACTAGCGCAGAGCTACCGACACACAAAAGCCACTCATCTGCGGAATGGAAGAGGAAAATGTATTTGCGGTTGGCGAACTGCAAGGGAAGCACAATTTAGGATGTTTATGCTGCTGCTGCTCGCTTATTTATCGAGAGAGCTTAGCTGTTGTCGGGGTTCTGTGTGCATTTTGATTTAATTTGGAATGCGCTACTCAAAATGCATTTCCTTTTTGGCATGCAATTTGCCAAATGTCAAATAGGTTTGGGCCAATCTCAGCTGCATGGCTGCCAACACAATGGAAATGGCTAGCATTTGACAGAGGTTTTGGGACCCTGTTTCTGCCATCGCCAAAACATACATTTCCGCCCACCCAGTACATGTGTGTGCATATGACGTTAATTTGGTGTTGACTCTTATAAGAAGTGAGCCCTTGAATCATGACTCAGCTCAACTCTGATTGATGTGACTTTTTAGCACGTCCTGGCATTACAAAACAAGGAAGAACCAGTCCGGCCCCCAGTTTTTGGGACCCAAAAGCCAAAAGTCAAGCGCCCTTTGTTTTCCACTGCCATTCACTAACCAGGCTGCTCTGCCACCGAAGGCCAGTTGGCTGATGCACTTGCATAGATAACCCGCATAATCGGATAATTGGATTTTATTTGATCGCTTTGTGGTAATAAAGTTCCATTTAGTTATAACTGAACATTTGCAAATCGGATTTATTTTGCTTAATTGGCATTACTATTTGCGAATGTGTTTATTTCCAATCGTTTACAATTAAAACAAGATAGAAAGCTATAGCCCAGTTACCCGACTATCAGATAGCCATTACTCAGCTGGTGGAAAGAAAAATTGCAGATTTTTTTATTGGTAAGAATTACGACTGAAATTAAGAAGAAAAAAAGTGGACGTGGCAATAAGAATTTTGGCAAATCTATAGAAATTTACAAGATAACAATAATCTATAATTAATATACGTGCATAAACATTGTATATCAAATTTATAGCCTAATTATTTTGTTTGTTGTAACATATCCTTGTGAACTTATTTAGCAACCATTCAAACCGTTTAAATAGGTTTCCCCACGAAATAAAGTTGAACTAGACTCCAGTTAGCTAAATGCAAAAGGCACAGCCCGCAAAGAGCTAAAAACACAACATTTTCAGCAATTCGTAAGAGCACCTACTTCCATCGTCACAAGCTCATAAAACAGAATGTGTGATAGCCTATGTAGGCGGACAAAAAGGTGCACCACGCTGCCTATGTGTTTTGCGGACCATGGTGCGTATGCGTAATACGCTGGCGAGTGGCATGGGAAGTCCTTTGGCATCGTTGACTGCCGCTTGTGTAATTGGGCGTGTAATTGTGTTTGCCTTTTCACATTTAGTCGGGCCCAAAAAAGGTCACTTTTGATGTGTGTCCTGTGGCGATGCTGCACTGCATGAGTAGAGCGGGCACACCCAATTAAAATGTCGCTCAAAACTTTTGGCCACTTTTGGCCCAACGTCCCTGGCGGGAGCGAAAAACTGTTAATTGAGTTTCTGTCCGCCAACGCGAAATGAATTATGAGCAACTTATAATGAAGACGGCTCAACTTGAGCGCAGCAACTTTTGGCAACTCGACAATGGGCCAAAGTCCATAATGACGGGTTGTCCTTGGCGCGTTCAAGGCCGCATCCTTCGACGCAGCGATTGAAGTGATTGACTTGGCCCAGCACAGCCCTTATTTATTTTTGAGCGTCTGGCCGACTCTCCAGATGTCGAGGCTCGATAAGCTCCGCGTGGCATGCCACACACCTGTCAGGATGTGTCAGGATATGTTCCATGCGTGACAGTTCAAGGCGCGGCTTAGGGCGAAATATTGGGTCCTCTCATCGAATATTCATAGCGGGCACCTTCTTTAATGGATGAAAACAGTTTAATACCCATGAGTTATTTATTTTCCTGTTAAGGCCCCACGACTAATATCCCGAATAAAGGATATTAGCGGGTTACGCTTCTAAGAGTATCAATTCTAGAAACTGATTAGTTTGGGATATAGTTCTGTAAATTAAGAACATAAAGAGCCCGAAACTATGCCACTAAGATAGAATATACCCAAAATCTTTTTTTGTTCGCTGACTCACGAAGATTGTTTTCTGTGAACGTGCAAACACTTGAAAGTTGCCGCTGAAAGTTGTCACTACGAAATACAAAAATGTATAAACACTTCTTATCGGCGGATACGAAATGCAGAAACAACGAACATGAGCGTGCTATTAACATTATGACATTTGGGCATAAATAAATTCCGCCAGATAGCCAAAGTATGGTATTAAAAATACGTTATCGTTAAATTTATGTGTCTTGGAAATTAAGATGAATGTCGACTTAGTTGTATTGAAATGATTCATGTGGTGCCAAATACCCATGATAGTGCCAGTGATGGGTATCTGCACGAAATCGGCGGAGCTTTAGTAATACATTTTTTTATATTTTTAAAGTACAAAGTCCATTTTGGGAAAACTACCCTCGTTTTTTTACCAAACCATTTTACAATGGTCTTGAACCTTGCGACCCATAATTAAGATACTATCCAAGGGTGAAAATCGTCGAGTGATTGCCGTCTGCCATCTCTATTTTGATAAAGGCGCCTCACATTTCGGCCATGTCAATGGCGCTCTCAACTGCGATAGAGGTCGTGATAAGAAACCACAGAAAAAAATAGAAAGCCGTCTGCAGGCCAATTGGCTTGGCCTGATAAGCGAGTTGGCTGATTGGCGGGGACCCCAAACAGCTGTGATTCAGTCAACGCCGAACATTTGTTGTGTCCACATATCCACGTCGCAATTCCAGCTCGTCGCGAAACCAGAAACCCAAATAATCATAATTGCTAAATGCCAAGAAACGGCCAAGTGAAGTGTCCGCGACATGTTAAGCTATTTGCCGGTAGCGTGGCTCTTTCTAGCCCTCCTGGTGCTCCGTGCCGCCACGGGCCAGATCATTCCACTGCCCACCTTTTGCTTGGGCCTTAGTCCACAGTGCACTTGTGCCGCCGAGGCGAATGTGGTGCGGTTCCACTGTCCGGATGAGTATGCCATGCTGCTGGAGGTTTCCGAGCCGGGAGCCTCGCTATACATGAGCTACTACTCCTGCACCGATTTGCATTGGCTGCCGCGCTTCAACATCAGTTCGCTGGTGAAGATCGAGTTCGATGCGTACATCTTCTGGCCGGAGGAATTCCTGAGTGGCTTACTCGAGGCCTTGGGTGTGCAGACAGTGAAAGCGATTATTTTCCGCGACCGAACCTTGGAAACGGTAGTCACCCGCGATGTCCAGAACTCGGCCGATGGGTATATGGAAACTTCGCAGCCCAGAAACATTACCACCTGGCACTTTGGCTCCGTTTCCGGCCTGAAGAAGTTCAAGTTCTACAGCCAAGTGCCCATGCTGCAGGAGTCCATATTCCACGGATTCGACACCCTGCGGGATCTGCAGCTCAGCGTGAACGTGACCACGCTGCCGGAGAAAATGCTGTCCACGGTGAATGGAACTCTGAAAACGCTGACCATCGAGAGTCCGGGCATCGTGTCATTCGGGAATCCACTGCTCTGCGAGCTGCAGCAACTGCGCAACTTGAGTCTCGCCCTCGTGGCTCCGTCTCATGCACGCGATAAGCAATTGCAGCCGCACTTTTTCGGTTCCATGAAAAATCTGGAGGAGGTGCGACTGGCGTCCGCAACCAGTAGTGTGAATCGCACCATGTTTAAGGGCACCAACAAGCTGCAGCTGATCAAGATGAATGGCAACGACGATCTCACGGAGCTGCCCGGGCTAATTTTCCTGGATCAGGTCAATCTAAAGACCCTGGACCTATCCTGCAATGCGATCGGCACTCTGCACGAGGATGTCTTCAAAGGCCTGGGGAATCTAACCCTGCTGGATCTGTCCAAAAATAGACTGACTAACTTGTCGAGGTGGGTGAAAAGCTTGCTTGCGCTGATTAATAGATGGCCCACCCAGCGATAGTCTGCGGACTGGAGAACTTGCTTCTAGCCAAAGTAATTAATCGAAGGCACTCTTCTCAGCCTTATCGCTGTGGTTTCCCTTATCAATCCGGGCACGGTTAATAGCTGAACGAGTGTTCTGTGTCTCCCCTCGCAGACAAGTGGGGTTATCGGTCCTATCGTTCAGATACTAATTGCAGTATTATTATTACAGTAATGTGCCGCTTGGCACCAGAAAGTATGCCGAACATTATTAATTGATTGATCCCCATCTAATAGTGGTAATTTATGCACCTTTTCGGAATCTCTAAACCATTTGTTTATAAACACTGTCTTTCTGAGAACCCATAAGTAACGTAAGACGTATTTTATTTATAGCATTTCTTGTCTGTGGCAATCTTATTGTCGTTTGATAAGATGTGGTCGAACAGAAATTAATTAGATATTTTTCCGACTGATAGAATGATAAAATGTTCACTTTTAATATAATACTGATAATAATATTATATGAGTAATATAGAAATTTACAATCAATTTGATAAAAAACATAATTTTTATACTGATTTGCTTTCCTAACACTATGTTGTAGACTTTATTTGTAGTTCCTAATTGTTTTAGCAACATTTTAATAATTTAATTAAGTAGAACATGGATTTTAAAAGGGGTTGTATATTAAACATTCATGCATACTCGATGTGGCAAACATTTACGCTTTAATCGCCTCATATGTTTATTAAGGCATACCACTTAAAAAAGAAACGATTTTCATATGTTTAAACAAATTGTAAATAACATGTTAGAATTACAAAAATAATTGCATTAGATTTATGTAAGCTAGCACATTTTGTAGGTGTTTTTTTTACCTCCAACTGGTTGAAAAGGCTTTACCATTTTGTGAGCGTACTTACCACGAATTCAAAGCATTAGAACACTTCTTTCGGAGTTGTAGATTACGGTAGCCCCACTTGGATCCCGGTACTCCATGACTAATGCCAATCTAATCCTTCTGCGCTCTCCTCCATCCTGCAGCACCATTTTCGCCCCATTGAGCTCGCTGAACGTTCTGCGTCTGAACAAGAACTCGCTGACCGCAATGTCGCCGAGTGTGTTCCAGGATGTGGTCAGTCTGAACTACATCGAGATGGTGCAAACCCAGTTCTACGGGGCCACGCTCCAGATGAACTACGAGGCGGTGGTGTGCACCAATGATGAGACCTGCCAGTACAAGTCGGCGGAGTGGCAGTGCGATCCCCGGTGCATCTGCTGGGTGCAGCGGAGCATCGGCAGTCTGATCGTGGATTGCCGCGGAACCAGCCTCGCGGAGCTGCCCGATTTGCCGCGCACCACGCTGCTGAGCACGGTGCTCAAGGGGGGCAACAATAGCCTCACCAGCCTGCCCAGCGTGAGCGAGCACAGGGGTTACGCCAACGTGAGTGGCCTCTTCCTGTCGGACAATAACCTGACCACCCTGGGAACCGGCGACCAGTTGCCCGAGAATCTCACGCACCTGGACGTGCGAGGCAATCAGATTCAGTCCATCAGCGACGAGTTCCTATTATTTCTGCAGCAGCCGAAGAACACTATTACGCTGTCGTTGTCGGGAAACCCCATCTCCTGTGGCTGTGAATCCCTGCAGCTTCTGTTCTTCGTGCGCACCAATCCCCAGCGGGTGCGGGACATCGCCGATATTGTGTGCACCAAGCAGAGGAAGTCCTTCCAGCAGATGGAGGCCTTCGAGCTGTGTCCTTCATATGTGCTGCTAATCAGCTGCGTGATCGGTGGCCTGGTGATCATCATCTGCCTGATCACCGTATTCTACCTGATGTTCCAGCAGGAGCTGAAGATCTGGCTGTACAACAACAATCTGTGTCTGTGGTGGGTCTCCGAGGAGGAGCTGGACAAGGACAAGACCTACGACGCCTTCATCTCGTACTCGCACAAGGACGAGGAGCTGATCAGCAAGCTCTTGCCCAAGCTGGAGAGCGGTCCGCATCCCTTCCGCCTATGTTTGCACGATCGGGACTGGCTGGTGGGCGACTGCATTCCGGAGCAGATCGTGCGCACCGTGGACGATTCGAAGCGGGTGATCATCGTGCTGTCGCAGCACTTCATCGACTCGGTGTGGGCCCGCATGGAGTTCCGCATCGCCTACCAGGCCACATTGCAGGACAAGCGGAAGCGGATCATCATCATCCTCTACCGGGAACTGGAGCACATGAATGGCATCGATAGCGAATTGCGGGCATATCTCAAGCTGAACACCTACCTCAAGTGGGGGGATCCGCTCTTCTGGAGCAAGTTGTACTACGCAATGCCGCACAATCGCAGGGTTCTGAAGGGCCAAAAGAAACATGCGGGTCCGCTAATCTGAGGCTTGAATAAAATTGCAGATATTTTAGTTGAATATACTCACTCGTGGTGAGGCAAAAAGCTAACAACGCCTTAAAAGCTAATCCACATGCCTTGCTTAAAATTCTAAATTATTTTAAATATTTAAAAGTATTGATACATACTTGTACACATAAGTAATTTAACTTATTCTTAAACAAACTGATGACTACGATTTCGTTCCAATTTTTCGGAAACAATATATTTACAAAATAATTTTAAAAGCAATATTTACAATATCAGCATTAAAATATCAATTCACAGTTTCTAAAACTTAATTAAATCATTCTATGAACAAACTGGCAGTTAATCCTTTTGTTTCGACAAATTCGATTTTGCTTTCATCTTTGAGATAGCAAGAGCCTTAAGTTGAATAATAAATTGTCGAGGTAATTAACTCAGCCGTTAGCATCAACATTAATCGAAGACACAATCGCTCGATTGCCTATTAATCAATTAGCTCAATTAAAATGATGATTAAGTGATTATTGCAGCTTCGGATGAATTTATGACACTTACACGTATGTATTATACGAATTTTTTTCCTCCAATGGCATAGACTGGTTAAGAAAGGTCAATAGAAGTGTATATACAAGTTAGAAACTGCCAGACACTGAAAATACAATTATTTCCACATGCCTTAGCTGCTTTATAATGCAAGTTACACAGAACTCTAAAGAATATCAAATTAATCACGTTTAAAAAGCTTTTCATTCGTGTAAATTTTTAATACACCGAGGGACCACAAAGTGGACACAGTTTGAGCCCTCGCCCAAATATCCCAGCTGGCTTAGGCTTTTGATGAGCTGGTCCTTGTTGGGGCTTCCTTTTGTTTCCAACAATGTATTCTGCCCGGATTGTGTCATTTTTCGCATGAGATTTTAATTAAATTTTAAACTTCAAAACATTCGGGTGCTTTGGGTGGCGAGATAAAAAGCCTATTAGCCTTAAATGAATTGTAACAGCTGATGTGTGCATAAATGAACATGAATTGCTGCTCTTCTGCATGACTAAAAATTAATTCTGCCAGCGCTGTATGCTTTTATACCACATTAATGTTTGCCAAAGTCACCACATCATAATCATTGGCATTCGTGGCAATAATATTGGCAATTTATACGCACAAAGAGGTCCGTTCAATAAACTTTCTTAAATATTTATTCAGTCACATGCTCAAAGCAGCCCCCATTGCCTCCTCTTCAAACTCTAATTATCCACTTCAGTAATTGCGCTGGCCTTCATTGCTCAGTTGAGGCGCGCACTGGAACCCTTTCCTCAAACAGGCCGTTTCGGCCCAAAGTGGTGAGCCAAGCCAATTCCCAGCCAGATATAAGTGAAAGTATATGTAATGGCCAAAAGGGCAGAGAAAAACATTTGGCCAACTTGCGCGCCATACACTGTCAGCCCTTTTTCTGCCGCACGATTGCGTGGCCTTTTGTCCACCCACCAGCCACCTTCAATGTGGGCGGTGGGTGGTTGGGTGGTGTTGCAGGACGTCTTTGAAGATTCATTGCCTGCTGGCCCGCTGGCCAACACTTTGTGGGCGAGTCGAATAAAAGAGTGAGGGTCACAGGGCAAGGGACAGAGCTAAAAACACTTATTTATGACGCTCAGTCTCTAAACTTAAAAATTGAAATATTTGCACTATCCTTTCTGCAAAAAATATCTTGGAGGAGTAAAAAACATACAAGTTAAATTATATCTATAAGCGAAAGGGCTTAAACTACAACTTTATCTTTAACAACTGCGCTCTACGATAAATTACTTTTTAAAGCCAACTGAAAGGCAGAAATTCAATCTTTTTGCAATTCAACATTGTGATTCGCTGTGAGTTTCAATTTTGATTGTATAAATGCTCAGTTGCATTATATTTCGCTTTGCCATTGTGCCCGTCTATAGGTTCGTAAGTGATGACATTTGTAGCCGCCATTGAATAATCATCTGTGCTCATTTTTCATAAACTTACACTGAAGGTTGAGTCCTGGAGTCTGGGTAGTTATCACAAACATCTGTTCGCCACTGCTTTTCATTTATCACGAGTGCTGCGAAGAAAACTATAATAAAACCGATGCTGCCCGTTCCCAGGGCTTTTGGCTACGTGATTCAAAGGCCAACCGTTGCCCACTTTACTTTCGCAGTGGCAGAAACTCAAGCCGGGATTCCCTGGCGTTGAACTACTTAGTAGCCATAAAGCAAGGATGTGTGGCTCACCAGGGGCTGGGATGGGATGGTGTGTGTGCCATCAATGGATTTCTGGCCTGGCGCCACCAGCAGCAACTCGAACCGAAGGCGGATGCAAAATGCTAAATTGTTGCTGGCTCTGAGTCAGCTTTTGGTGGCTCCATCGACGATGTCCCCAGCCATTTGAGCACACAAATCATTGCAAATGCATGCGGCATATAGTATTTGCTGATACTTGGCCACAGTCATACACGTACTATGCATGGCTTTATTACATTGCATTTTATTGCCTTTCATTGCCGGCTTTCTCGCCACTTTCAATGTATGCCGATTGTTTAGCTTACTTTTCAATGCCCCATAAGCGCCCAACATTTTCAGTAATAGCCAGCAGCTCAGTTGGCAATGACAAAGTGCCAGAAATCCACTCGAGTTAATTATTTGTTAATAAGCTTATACATGTAATTACTGCGAGTTCCTTGACGCACATTTGAAATCCGGCACCCGTTGTGCTTCTTTAAATGCAATAAACTTAGTGAAGCTTTCGGCACTTTGCTGTGCGGTATGTGGCTCCAACCCCGTTGTGGTTATGTCCTGCAATTAGTGGAAGTTTTATTGCACACTTTCGTGCCATGTGGCCCGGCCAGGAAATGCATTTCGATGTCCGACACAAAGAGGTCATTAACAAGTGCAGAGTTGGTCGGGTGCGGTTTCCTTTTCTTCGGTTTCTCTGCCCTCCACGCGCCAACCGATGCACTCATTATATATTGACAGGAAATCACACCATTGCCCTGGGATACAGATGGCCTACAAAACAAGCATGCGAATAGGTTCAAGACTGCACTCCATTCTGCTATGTGAGCACAAAGAAGTCTCTTTGCTCCAAGTCAAGTCATGTTTAGTAGAAATTGCATTTTCTAGAATGATTTCCCATGAAAACCCAAGAACTTATACTTAAATGAGTATAATTTGTTAAATCTATGTTTCGAAATGCTGCAAGCTATTTGGTGTAAGTATCGTAGGCGTATACGTAATATACTCCTAAATACGAGCACACTTCCTAATTTACACCTATTATTTGGCTTAACAGATTCTATGTCCACTGTCCTCTTGCTTGCCGCCTGACTGGTTGGTATTGGATTTCCCCCATCGCCTGGCAACCAGGCGCACTTATCTTTGATTGCGTGCAATTTACGCTGGGCCAATTGTTCATATTTTTGGTTTCGGGCGCGTGGCTAAGCTCCTGACCTTGCCCAGTGGGCGGCTTGGTCAGAGGCGCGGTTGATAAATGACCACCACGAAGGGGGGCCCGAAATGCAGGGGCGCAGGTCCAGTGAAAAACTACAGAAGGCGTTAAATCATGAATGCAGGCAACTGCTGAAGGCTGCACTGCCTCATCCCCCCACCCGAGGAGTGCTGTCAGATGGGATAAATCCGCACATTTTTCAGACACCGATGGCCGGCTAAACCGCTGGCTCCACTTCGCTCAGTGGCCGAAAATCAATCGCACTCGGCATTAATCAAAAACCCATTTATCAGCAAGTGTGCAGGCCTTTCTCCCGGAGGTTTATTAGCTGCCGGCTGGCCACGGTCGGTGATTAGTTGAGCGTTAACCCCGGGTCGGCACAGTTCCATACGGGAGCCACAAAAATCGAAGAATTCGAACAAGAAAAGTGCAGGCGAGCCGCGCGAATGTGCAAATTGCAATGAATATTTCACGCGAAATGGGACTTGATGGGGATAAATTTCGCTGGCTTGTTGGACGAATTGGCCGGCCGGTCGGGAATCATTAATATCGCCAACTGCGGGTGACAACTGCCAGCTGCACTATCGTCAAATCCATTAGTGCTCCACTTAGTTGGAGTCATGTGAAGAAGGTGTCAGCACGCTCACTTAGCAAGCCACAAACGCTATTCGACCGGCTGCCTGTCCACCCAGTTTCAATTTATGTTCGGAACAGAACGGGAATACGGATATAGTCAAAAGGGTATCCACGTAATACTTTCCATAAATAATATACGCCTGCATGCGAGGCGCGCTTAAAGAAATGACTAAGTTGGGAGCTGCCAGTGAGCTTCCGCTGGAATTCAAAGCCAGTTCCGGGTCAAGTGGATCAGCAGCTAGTTGTGCATCGTCCTCGTGTGCAAATTGGATTACCCATCAAACGGGAAAGGAGGCACAAGAGCCAATGCCTGACAGGATGCTTACCCTCAGTGCGCGGGGTCTTTTGGTATGTTGAAAATCATATGAAATCCACTTGGTTGTTGGATTTGCCTCGACTATCAGATACATTTTCCTCAGCCCAAGGTAGTGCTAAGGAGTTTGAGAACAGATAAACTTATTCCAACACTTCCAAAAGTTTGCCAATATCAAGTTTTCATTTAAATTTATACTTATGCATATTGAGTAAAACTGCCAAACCACGAAGAATGGCACTAGAAGTATGTAACTATTTTAGATGGTTAAACACTCCTAGGCTTAACATAAAAGATTATTTTCTCGAATATGAGTGAAATGGAAACAACTTACATTCGCATTATGATAGAAAATTTTAATGAACGTCAATGATTCAAAGTGTGGTGGATGTAGATATTTCTTTGGGCTTTGGGCTTACGCTAATCGAAAATAGGAAGTCGTACTGCCAACCGTCTACCTTAAAGCAGGCAGTGTGTTGACTAGTCGGCGTGAAGGTGCTGGCGGCGCTTGGCGCGTCCCTTTCCGAGCTTTTTGGACCTGAGCTTGGCCATGTGCGACATAACTAGGTAGCTGCCCGGCAGGATCAGCAGCATTATGTATATTTTCAGGAAGAGAACCATGTCAAAGGTGATGTTCCAGGAATTAGGCAT